CAAGTGAGAACAGAGGCTTCTCCCTTCAGAATGCCCACCACCTCTCTGATCCCCAACTCTGACTCTGTTAAGCTATTTCTTTTCTTGGTCCTCGTATCTTAATCAGATTTTTTCTTTTTTTTCCTTTTGTACCAGGGTCTCACTCTGTTGCCCAGACTGGAGCACAGTGGCAGGATCTGGGCTCACTGCGACCTCTGCTTCCCAGGTTCAAGCTACTCTCCTGCCTCAGTCTCCTCAGTAGCTAAGACTACAGGTATCTGTCACCACGCCTGACTAATTTTGTGTATTTTTAGGAGAGATGGGGTTTCACCACACTGGCCAAGCTGGTTTCAGACTCCTGACCTTGTGATCCACATACCTTGGCCTCCCAAAGTGCTGAGATTACAGGTGTGAGCCACCACACCCAGCCCCTAATCAGCTTTTAAGTCCGCTATTACATGATGCTTTTGTATCCTCCTGAGATCTTAAAGTATAAATTATATGATCTATACTTGTTATACCATCCAGTCCTCACAAAACTGTATTTTTTTAAACAGTAAAATCAGCTCCACCAGCATTTATGGAGTAGTTATTAAGGCAGCAATACTATCCTGAGAGGGAGGAACACATAGGGAGACATGAGAAGCCTTAGAGCTTACAGTGAGAAATAACGTGGCACACTGGTGAGAATGTACACACAAATACAGTCTCTCTAAATACAGGGATATAAAACTGCATTTTTTTGAACTGCCATTTACACATCACATTGTATTCTAATTGCTTCATATGTAAAAATACTTAAATGTTTTTCCTAATATCCCAAACTGAAAAGTGATGAACATATTTAATTCTCTGTCTTTTCATTTTACTTGATTTCTTAGACAATTCAGATACTGTGGGGGAACTTAGGGGAACAAGCTTGAAAACCAAAGTGCTTAAGTAAAATTCATTGTGAGTGCTCACTATGTGCTAATTACTAGAATGGCAGATTCGGGGGATAAAACAGTGAGCAAAAACCAGCAGTGATCCTGCACTGGTAGAGTTTACAGTGCGATGGAACGAACCGGTAATAATCAGACCAGTCAATGATGAATTATCGCAATAAGTGCTGCACAGAAGACCCAGGGTGCTGAGTGCACAGCACAGAGAGCACAATGTGGACCTGACCTGTGAGCAGGGAATGGACCGGGCATCCAGGAGGGCTTCCATGATCAAGGACACACAGCTAGAGGAAAAACCTGAGGAGCGCAAAGAGTACGTCAGGCAGAGAGAGGTGGGGGCAAATTCCTTGCGACTAGAGGGTGCAGGACAGTTCCAAGGAACTGAGAGGAAGTGGGAACCAAAGGGCAAGTGAGAGCTTGATGGGAAATGAGGCAAAAGAAGCAGGGAGGGACCAGACCTTGCAGGACTTTTTGGGTTAAGGATACATCTTCACCCTCAAGACAACAAACAGCCACAAAGGAGTTCTGCCTCTGTTGCTAATTACATCCTAAGACCACTTATGCAGAGCATCTGGCGTAGTCACAGATCCGTGGCAGTAGGCAGCGAATGCTGATTCCCTCCCAAAAGTATCCTGCAACATTTACTGCTTTATGCAAAGTCTACCAATTAACAATCAAAATGAATATCTCTTGTATTTTCACATCAGTATCGCTGTGAAATGAATTAGTATGTATGAGAGATAATGGAATGCCCATTATCTCTCAACATACAAATACAATCAGCCTTTGATATCCAAAGGTTCTACCTCTGAAACCAAATGCAGATCAAAATGCAGAATTCAACAGACGTGAAATCTATGGATAGAGGCCTGATGTTTTGTATATATGGGTTCCAAAGAGCCAACTGCGGGACTTGAGTCTCTGCAACATTTGATATCTGTGGGGGTCTCAGAACCGATTCCCCATAGATAACAAAGCACAACTGGATATACGAAAAGCAATTGTAGTTTTATTCCCTAGAAATAAACATTCTGGAAA